ATTCCATGTGGACGGATAACACCAAACGCTTTTCGATTAAGCCTATTCCATTCATTCATCTTTTCATACCCTCGGGTTGCCACTATCACGCTTAATGGGTTCCATACAATCTTTAAAACAAATAAATTAGGTACTCCATTTTAGTTTTTCTCAAAGTTAACCCAATTGCTTCCATGAAGCTAAGCATACGACCCAATGTCCTCCATTGATTTACAAACAAATATAAATTGGACCCAAATAAGACGTAAGCTCTGATACCAACTTGTTAGGGGAAATATGTGATGTCCCACAAGTAAAATCAATCAATGAGAATAAAAACTAAACACGTATAAATATTCTTTGTGTTGCTTTGATTTAATTTTTTTCGCAGTATGCTTTTTATTTCCCATTGATTGATTTACTTGTGGGGAATCACATATTTTCCCTACCAAATGCAGCTGCTTTATTCCTTGTCATGGCTAACCACAAGTTCATACCATAGCATGTAAAGTAATTTTTAGACATTTAGGCTTTGCAGTCCATTTTAAACCTCTAACCATTTGAATAGACTATCTTAGATAGATAAGTTTCAAAGCAACAAATGATTTATGTTCTTCAAATAATTGGGTTTAAAAAAAAACACATTTTATCTTCTTCAAACAATTTTTTACATTAATTTGTGCTGCTTCTATATGAACTAGTTGAAGGTGAGACATGCTGATCACCATTTAGTAACTATTATTCTCACAAAATATGTATCTATGCATTATTGATGAACCAAAGGTAAGGCGGAGGGAGCTATAAAAGTTAAAGAAGCAGTCACTGATATTGATGGAAAGGTGGAGCTTGAAAAAAGAACAGTTAGCTCAGATTGCTGAAGTAAGGCCAGGTTAAGAACTGAATAAACCAGCCATTAGATAAGTACTTTTAATTCAAGTAGTTCGGATACATTCGAATGTCAAAATTTGTTTGGGAAGCTTTCTTTAAAAAGCACAAAAAAACAATTAAAAGAAAATAAAATAACCTTTTTAACAAATAATTGTGATTGACAATGGAAATTGAAGTTCAAATTATGAATCATGTGAAACATCTGCCACCTAATTAGTTTCGTGAAAAATCTTTGTCATGAGAGGTAGCCAATTCATCACGCAAGTCCTGGTGCATGATTACACCCAATGACTTGACGTTGAAATCTCGATCAAATTGAGATTGGCCTGTCAAATTGAAATTCAATTTAGATATTGAACAACTTAACGTGAATGTTAACTTGGTCAGAGGTTAAAAGGTTACGTCTGGTATAATTTGTTATTTAGTGAAGAAAAAAAAGGTTTATTTTTACAGTATCTATTTATAAGTTGATTGCCACTTGGGCTATTATGTTGCAGTTGGAAACGAACTAGTAATACAACAAGTACAAGAAGAATCATATACCTTATAAAGACTTCTGGTGCATGCGCAATCATATACCAATCCTCCCCCTTTCCCTTCTCACATCGCCTTGCCAGTTCAAGACTGCAACCCCAAATGTCTATTCTTTGGAGTTTGGTAAGATTTTGAATACTCGCTGGAAGTGATGCAATCTTCGGGCAGTTTTCAAAGTGCAATGATTAGAGAGATTCAAGGCCTTGTATCCCTTTCTCTGGCAAAGAAAGCTCTGGACAGTCGACAATAGATAAAGAAATTAATGCAACGAGGCTTGTAAGGTCTTTAGGCAACACTTTAAGGTTTGAAAAACTCACAATCCTTAGTGACTTAAGAAAAGTAAGGTTTCTCAGCACCTCTTTTGGAAAAGAAATTGCCTCATGATTAACACTAACGCGTAGGGAAGTGAGACTAATAAGTTTTTGCACTCGTCATAAAGAAATAGTTTTTGGGGATAAAAGATGCGGAAAGTCCAATAAAGGACAACTTCCAATCTCAATATTGCAAAGACGAGGGAACAACTCTCTTCCCTCCTCCCTTGACAAACCTTTCAAATTCGGACAACTTCCAATATGGAGTACGTCCAAAGATGGGAATCCTTTCACTGGGCCTCCACCAATAGGAAAGTCATTATCAAGATACTCCAGTACTTTATCCATTCCATCAATTTGAAGGCTTTGTAGCAAAGGGAGTTGTCCAAACGGTGGAAGTTGTCAGCAGTTTTTGCAACCGGAGAGCTGGATTTTAACTATATTTTTTAGAACTGAATCCCCCATCTAGAGCAGGAATTGGGAACCTTTATAACCTCGTATGACCAATGCCTTTAGGTTTGGATGAGGTTCAAGGGCTTGAAGTACTAATTCAGATTCAACATCTTTTCGTGATCCAGATTCAGCCAAATCATATTCCCAATATAGTTCTAACCGACAAAGATTTTGCTTTTCCACCAAATTGGCTTCTTGGCATCCATTGGATTTCTCACTCTCTCACACTCTCAAGGTTCTTGATATGAAGTTGTCCTCCAAAGTTTAAGCATTCAATTCAGCTAGACTACAAACTTTGCTCTGACCCACAATAAATACATTTAATGTCTTCAAGTAAGTTAGCTGCCCAATATTTGGGGGCATCTCAATTAACGGACAACCTATCAGATAAAGATGTCAGAGACTTGTCAGGTACTTGATGTTCTTGGGCAATCTCTTAAGTTTTCGACAGTAATCTAGAATTAATGTCTGCAAATTCCAGAGACAACAAATTGAATTAGGAAGCTGCTTGATATCAGTATTATGAAGGTCTAAATACCTCAGATGTTTTAAGTTTCCAATTGAAGATGGCAACCTTGTCATGCCACTGCTGCTTTCTTGGAAAACTCGCAGTGAACCAAACTTCCTAAAATCACACAAAAAATTGCCCCACTTGCTGTAGGAAAATGGTGGATATTGTAGTTGGAATGTCCTTAAGGATACAACATTACAAAACGTGTCATTAAAATTATCTATCCAATCATTAACCAATGTTACATGACGAACTTTTTTGTTGGATATATTACTCGAACTTTTAAACTCCATCGCCAGATACTTATCCTCCATAGCTGATTGGACGAGATCATGCATTTTGAACCATGTCATTCGAAAAATGTCATTGTTGTTCACATCTTGAAAAAAAGATCTCCAACACAATTCGTTCCAAATTTGATCGTCAATATCTTCCGGCTCCGGCCTTCCTTTGCATGAAATGTAGCCATTAGCCATCCGAAGATGGATTAGTTTTTCCTTTTCAATTGTAAAACCCTTTGGGAAAATTGCACAATAATTACTTAATCTCAAAGCAGGCAAGATCGAATATTTATTTTGGGATAAGTTCCAAATTTCACTTTCTTTAACAAATAACCACTCATTTTCCTCATTTTTGAAGCGCATTAGCCCTCCGAGGGCCTGCAGCTAAAGGCACACCCCTACGCTTCTTCACTATCTCCTTTCCAATAGCCACAAGATTCGGACGCTCTGCATTTCCATGTCCAAATGCTCGTTGCCTAAACAACATCCAACAATCTTCATCAGATAAAAATAACAGGTGATGCGATAGGATAGTTCCCATGATTGATGCAATAGTTTCAAGACGAGTAGTGACGACAATTGAAGCACCTTTCGATCCGCTTGCTAGTAGATACTTCAAATTCACTCGCTTCTCTTGATCGTGGTTCCATACATCATCTAATACAATCAGGTACCTTTTCCCACTCAGCTTGTCTTGAAGGGTTCTCTGCAGAGAACCTAGATCTAAGTCTTGAGAAACTTCTCCAGATGCAGATCTTATTACTGCTTTTATCATCGTTTTCACATCAAAATCCTGAGAAACATAAACCCAGATTTTAGGTTCAAAGAGGCGTTCCACCCTCTCATCATTGAAGGCCATTTGCGTAAGGGTTGTCTTTCCAAGCCCCCCTATACCAATTATAGGGTACACGGAAACGTCCTCGCTATCACATACATCCTGAACCAAAACTTTGACAATCTTTTCTTTAGCTTCATCTCTTCCATATAGTTCTAGTTGAGTTATAAAGGAAATGGTTTCACAACTTTTGGAATATTCAACTCTCTTCTCCACAGCTCCCTCGTGCAAGTGAAATTTACGATTAGCAGCAATTGCATCTTACTTCACTATAATATCTTTTATCCTATTCCTTATGTTGTGACGGAACATAATGTTCTCAATAGGATTAAAAGTCAATAAACAAGTACTTACCTTCTTCTTTAGAGAACCAGAACTCTGGCCTTTAGATTCACATCAGAGGGCTTCAGTTGCACAATCATCCAAGATGTCATCAGCCTCATAGGCTGCATCATTGAGCTCTCTCAACCAATTTTGAATTGCTTTGTCTTGCAGTTGCTTTCGCTCTGCATCTTCAAGTACAACCTTGATGGTGGAGAGAGTGCTTTTAAGTGTCTCCATCTCCTCATCAACCCCTCAAAGCAAGCCCACCTCTTTTCAGATCAAGGAGTCCAGATTTTCAAGCACAAGTGGAAGAAATAATGAAGCCATGGTGAACTTGCTAGCTATTTGGATTCAAGGTGAGATCTCAAAATTGCAAATGCTTTCCCAAAACTGAATGCATCAAGTGCAAAGTATCAAAAAGGAATAATTGTCAGAAGACAAATAGGAGAATAATTGGAAAAAAGAAGACTTTGGAAAATGACTCATTACCAACTGATGAATTATAAGAGTTTGAATGCTGCTCTTTGTAGATAACTACTTGCATTTAGGTTTTGATGCAAGGGGGTAGACTTTTATTAGAATTCATTGGATTGATTTTTCTATAACGTTTCTACTCCGAAATTTATCAGGAAATTCTTCAGTTCACATGATGCCTCACTCGGATCATTAATTATAGTGACATTATCTTGTAACAACACAATTTTAGGACATAATAATCAAAACCAAAGCCATGATAATAACCAACACCATTTTGGACATAACGAAATACCATAAGATCCATTTCTTGGAATTAGTTTATATCATCGATTATTTACAAATGCATTCTGACAAGCATTTATCAAGCATTATTCATAAGAAGAAAAAAAATATATGAGAAGTTCATAAACAATTCGTAATTATTTGCTGCATTTCAATAGAAGAAAATAACCAAGAAGACAAAATATCCAAAATTTTGAGTGTTTCATCCTACACATAACCGTCAACCAACCATAACCTAATCTCTTTGGGTTCCATAGATCAAGGTGGAAACAATGAGCTCCAAGTCATTCTAGATCTCTCTTCAGGTTGTTAATGTACAAAGACCCTCCAAAACTTATTGACACCACCAATAGGTACTGGCTGATGAGTTAAAATAGGGAAAAGACTCAATAATAGCATTCAAGTTGTATCTAATTAGTACCAACAACAAATATAAGATACTGAGGGTAACATGTATAACCCTATGTTTTCAATTTTAACTCCCATATGCAAGTGTCTTCTTCACTTCCAATTCTGATCCATTTGCTCCAAAGAAGTCATAGCTCCCTCTGGTATTCAAATCAAAATTTATGCAACTACCTTCAACTTTAAACTTGATGTCCTTCTTTTCCTGTTCCTCTCCCAAGCATAGAGACCCATTTGATTTCCTTTGAATAAAAAAAATGTTCTTCTCTGAAATGTTTTCATTTCTTGATTCCCCATCCATATTCACCATAAGATTTGACAGAGCCAAATTGAAATTGTTAAGTTGATCTCTAGTGGCTTCAAGACTGATTGTGTTGTTCATGTCAAGTGTTAGGCTTTTTTGAGCTTTCTCTAATATCGATTGCAAGTACTTCCCTTGTGCCTCTATTCTCATCTGCAACTTCTTTTGTACCTATTACATATTGAGAGAAGAAAAAAAAAAAAAATCAGACAATGGCCAAAATCCTTGGCATGAATTAGCAAACATTATGTGACATAATACAAAGAAGAGGCCTATGGAGGAAAATTGATCATAGAACTGTCAAACAAGAGAGAGACCTCAAGATGCTCCTGTAATCTCTTCTGTACTTCAATCTGACACCTCAGTGCCTCTGCAATTGGCACTTCTCTGTTCAGAACAGAATGTTCATTAGCTACAAGATGGGCAGATCAAAAATGAATTTATACATTCCGTCTTATATTTTTATTTTAAATTGAATTTGAACTCTTAAAACAAAACTTTTCAAACTATATTTAAGGCTGTATTCATAATTTTTTTACTCAAACTCCAAGAAAAACTAGTTACTCCAAATACACAAAGAGACTACTTGGTTTCAAAGAATACCCTGGTTCACTTTTAGCTCCTGATGAATTGGTAGTAGCACCTGAGGAATGCATATGGTAGTCTCTGTAAAAACCACCTGGACAAAGAAAAATATGATTTTTATAATTTCATGCATTATTGAAAATTCAGAAGTGACATTAACAGAGATTCCTTACTGCAAAATCATTTCGTTTCCTCTTTAAAGAACTCAATTGAGGATTTTCATGTAAAATATGATTTTAACTATTTCAATCACTATTAAAAAAAAAAAATTAATCAAAAACAAAGCAAAAGAGAATGAGATGTATTCAAAGAGATGGTGCAAAATCATTTTGTTTCCTCTTGAAAGAACTGAATTGAGGGTGTACTCACGAGAGTTAAATTTCAACTGGAGGAGGAGCTGTTGGCAAGAGGTTGAACTATCTGTGGTGAAACTACATAACTTTTTGTACATGTTATAATGTACTCACCATTGCTCTCTTTGTTTTGTTCTAAAGTGTTCTGTTGCTTGGCCTGCTGCCCAAGTCCATACTTCTAAGCAAAAAATGTGAACATCAGTAGTTCATAGAAAGCATAATGGACAAGGATGGCCAAAAAAAAAAAAACACACCTGCAAATGGCTCTTTAAATGATACAATGTCAAGCCCTTTAAGTCCATTACTCTCAGCACCGACTTGGGAGTCGCTTCTGCAAATTGAAACTCTTCTCTGAGTTGAGTTTGTATTAAGCTTGTAATTACAAAAATAACTCGCTCTTTATAAATAAATAAGAAAATTCCCTCCCATTTGTCTATAGCAATAATTGCCACATAATTCATGTCCATGGTTCAGAATGAAACATATTAGATGCTACGGAAGTTGGATACATTCTTCATTTCCTTTTATAGAGGATTTAATGTAACAAGAATAGGCACTACCAGAAAAGGATCACATCAATGCGGTTAATTAACAAGCAGTCTAACCTGAACCATGCTACCATAATAAATCTAATATGTAGTTATATACTATTAAATTGACAATTTGGATAAAGTGAAATGAATATGGACATAACCCTACTACTGATGAAAGAGTGAGACTATGATTTGTTGAACTACAATCAACCTCCTGAAATTACAATGTAAAACATGGATTTAGCAAAACTATTTGTTACATACCATTCACCACTTAGTTTTTTGACATTCACAACATGCCAAAAACAGATTAACTCCACTTCGGCCAATAATATCATTTTTCATACAATCAAAGGACTACCCCCATCACTTGTCTTTGTTCTATTGATTATAAATTTTGTGTAGCTACAAGTATACAACCAAAGACCAAATTTGGGACCAATTTCAATGCTTTGAATAACCTTATCCATTTCAAATTTCTTCTAAATTTATTGGATTAGGAAGAAACCCAAAGACAAAATAACTCAAGCTTAAATATTCTATATAATGCAATTGTTTTATTAAGCTATTTGGCTAACAGCAGTTTTGAAGACCTATATTCATCAACGGACAAATGGATAGTGCATCTCTCAGTCTTGTATGAATGTGACTAACAGCACTAATTAGAGACGAATATGAACCACAGCAAAAAGGGAAACCAATTACATTTTATGGTAAAACAATTTCTTCAAGTGGGTGTAGCTAAAATATGGAAATTATGGGATATTAATAATTTTCTGTGCGAACCAATCAATTCAGACCCAACCAAAAATAGGAAAACAAGTCAATTTTCAGAAAAAATATTCTCCCTCTATAAAATGTTTTTAGTCAAAAACCATTGAAACACAATGTCCAACAAAAAACCAAGGACAGACCAATATAGAAAACAAATGCCGTTGTGCTGATATGCTGTGCTCTTTTGGTTTGATTTGCTGCTGTGCTGATACGCTGCAATCTGTTGTGTTGTTGTGTTGTAGTCTTGTCTAGCTGTGCTCTTTTTCATCTGTATCTTGTTTTTTGTTCAGGATGCCTATTTTATGTTAGATATGGTTTTTGAACAGAAGTATGGGTTAGATAGTTTAAGACTGCTTTGTGTCTAGATGCTAGCCTTTTGTCTTAGCCTTTTCTTTTGGTTTTAGCTATTCGTCTTTTGCTTTGTATAGTTCTGCAGGGCCTGGGGCTTCCCCTTGTAATCTTGTAATTTCTCTGTTTTTATTTTATGACTTATTCGCCGAAAAAACAGTAAATTGAAACCAGAGCTACTAATTGCTAGCAAACATCAAATAATGGAAGTGCCAATCCCATTGTGTGTGTGTGTGTGAGAGAGAGAGAGAGAGACTCACTGTTAGGGCCACCCAGCTTGGTGACTGCATCAACAAATCGGTCATGAAGATTCGCCGTCCACCTCAGCCTCGGCTTTGGGTCTCTCGACATCACCATCCCACTCTCCATCATCCCCACCACCACACCCAAATCGTCAAATTCTCTCTCTCTCTCTCTCTAACAAAGAGAAGAAATCAGAATTGAATTTCAACTAAGCAAGCACCATTGAATTGAAAAAGGTATGGATCAGAATTCAATTCTTTTAAAGCTTGAAACTTTCAATCTAAAACACTCAAAATCAACTGTTTTTGCCTCAAATTTCAACTTACAGACATTCAAGAATGTGTCTAGAGGTCGGTTGCATGTAAAGGGAAGAAATCAGAATTGAATATCAACTGAGCAAGCACACACCATTGAATTGAAAAGGGTATGGATCATAATTGAACTCTTTCGATGCTTGAAATTTTCAATTTAAACACTGAAGATCAAATTGTTTTTGGCATCAAATTTCAACTTTGCAGACATTCAAGAATGTGTGTAGAGATCGATTGTGTATAAAAAAAACGACACGAAGAGAAAAGATCGGCGACGAATCTGAAGGAACATGATTAACCGAAAAATTTTACTATTAAATATTCAGAGCAATGACTGTGTGATTGTTCAGGAGGATATGATAGATTTCGTATTGGACCGTGGGATTGAAGAGATGTGCGATGTTCTGCTATTGGGCGTTGGATGGACGTTGTGGAGAGAGGGGGAAACCGATTGGACAGAGGGGTGGGGTGTAGGGGAGGAAAAGGATGGAGTGACACGTGGGATGCCAGCGTGGAATATTCGCCGCAAAATTCACGGGGATGGAATAGGAAAACAAAACAACAATGATTCATCCCCTTTTCCTTCCACCCCTTTGACCCCCTCTCTCTCTCATTGGTTACATTTTCTTTTTCTTTTTTTTTTTTTCTGCTCCTCCAATCACCACCAGCCACGTGGCAAAGGGGGTGAGGGGGTGACCCTCAAAAGGGGGTCCCAAGCATTATTCAAAACAAAAATGCTTAGACGCCCAAAAATTCTACCAAAATTTTACCAAATGTCTTACATGGGTGTGGGATTCACGTGGAACCCATTTTGTGTGGGTGTCCCACACCCATGTGAGACATTCGGTAAAACTTTTGATAAAATATTTGGGGTGTCTAGCATTACTCATAGGAAAATAGTATAGACCTCGAATGTTAAATGGGTTTGAGATAAGGGTATTTTTTTGACTTTGTATGAAATATGAGTTAGATTTGAAGTGATATGTTAAAAGATATAATTTAAATAGGATAATAATTTTTTAATTTTTTAATTATTTTAATCCATACCAAACAAAACGTTAATAGTTTATTTAGGATCCTTAGCCTGACTCGATAGAATATTTGCGAAAATTCACTTCCTTTCCATGAAGAGAGAGGGACAAATTGATAATAACTTTTATCTATTGGATCATATTTTGAGTTTATGTAGCTTTAGATTTTTGCATATTTTAAAAATTAAAAATACTTAAAAAAAATAAAAAAACACATAAAATTTTTAAAGATTAACCGATAACACTGATCAGCTTTGGCTTCAGTCATTTGTGTTTGGTAACTTGTACAAATTCAATTTTTTTTCTTAAGTAAAAAAAATCAAAAGTCTATTTACTAAACAATTTTTAAAAGCTACCAAAAAAAAAAAAAAAAAAAATTTTAAAAAAAATGCTTTTAATAATTATAAAAGCACTACTTTTTTAACTTCTAAAATGGTTATGGGTAATCTAAGTGAAAAACAACGTTGAGTCTGTTTCTACCCATATTCTGACTCTCTCCCAAAAACACAACGATCAAGTCTTTGACACTGTGGTTGGTGTGGGTGATATTCAATCTGTGATATCACTCCACTGCTGGGTTGGTTCATCAAAAAGTTCCCTGGAAGCACGTGATTTATCCAAGAAGGTTCTATCATCAAGAAGGTATGATTGTTTGATTATTTTATCCGCTGCATATTCTGTGTTTACTAGTTTACATGTGCAATAAAAAAAAATTAATTATCAAATTCCACCTTAATTGGCCATAAGTGGATTAGTTATAAATACGAGACAATTGGTTCTATTTTTCCCTGGGCAATTGATTATGAATTATTTGAGACCATACCAAATGTAATGGTTGGAGATAAACTAATAATTATCAAGTACTTATGTTAACTTTAGTCTCACTAATTCATTATGATTAAAATAAATTTGAAAAAAAAGCGAAATTGAAAACCTTGACAGTGAAATTAGGAAAATGAGATTCTCATTTTTTTTTTAAAAATATAATATAAGCAAGAAAATTATAAATTAACGTAACACTAATAATGTCTCGATACTTTGAAAGAAACTACTTGAAAATTCTCTTTTTTTTGTTTTTGTTTTGAGAATGACTTGAAATTAAATGATAAAAACAATTCAATTACCACCTCAATTTTTAAATTAAATTTATAAAAACAAAATATTTATTTCTTCAACTTCTTCTTCTTCTTCTTCTTCTTCTTCTTTTTTTTTTTTTTTTTGATTGAACATTGAAATAATTACTAGAGAATGTGTATGGATGACTTTTTGTGAAGTGGTCCATCCAGGAAAAAGAGGTAGGGGAGATGAGGACACGAAGTGTTGGACAATTTTTACTGTATTAAATATATTAATTCTCTTGTATACTTAACAACAACTAGAATATAAAAGAAATAAAGGAAAGAAGAGAAAATATTTAATTACAAAAATCAAACTAGAAATAAAAATAAATAAATAAAAACAGATTTTATTTTGTTACAAAAAATAAAATTAAAATCTGATTCAAATAATAATAATAACACCGAAAATAAATTAAATAACTTACTTGATTAAATCTTGAATAAAATTCTGATCAAGTCCAGTGTTTGATACTGTGTCCTTAAGACAGATTCGTCCTCTCCTCTGTGCTTTCAGAATATGGACGTCTATCTCCCAGGATGAAATAATCAACTACAAACAATAGCAGCATTACAAATTGTTTGCCTAACGAACACACTAAGTGTTTATACTCTTTCTCACAAAAAATTAAACGCAGCAAAATGAAGAATAAATTTGCAAAGGTAAAGTACAAAATTTCTGAATCTAAAACATCAAATGAGGGTTGTCCTATTTATAGATGTATTGGTGGCTGCAGGTTTTGAATTAAACAGGTGCAAACCTGTTTGGTTTTGAATTTAAACAGATTTGAATATGTTGGGTTCACAATTCAAACAGATAAAAAACGGGAAGGGCCTTGTTTGGGTGTACAGTAAAACCAGATCAGTTTATTTCCGGAATTAATTTGAATTATGGATTTTATTTTACCAAAAAATAAAATTAAATTCAAATGTTTTTGGCCCAAAAAGATAAGTATTGGGCGTGTTGATTTTTGGGTCCAATGGGTCTAGCCCATTTTGCCCACAACCTCCCTCTCTAAAACACTTGGGTACCCCTTGGGGCACACCCCAAGTTCTGATCCCATGCCTTATAAACTTATTCAAAACTTCCCATCAAATCAATGTGGGACAAGCCTTATTCAAACCTTTAAGGATTTTTCACCAAAACTCTATTTCCATGGAGCATACTTTGGCTTCAATTTCCCATTCACTCGGTAATGGTTTTGAGTAACCAAATATACTACGTGAATCACAACGCGACATAGAACGCGTTACCACTTTGACCCGCGAAAATCGATGCTCGGGTCCCACCTAAATAATAGACCAAAGTTAGGAAAAAATTCTGATTTTACCCAGAATTTTCCAACCATTTCCAACAGGCGAAGCTAACAACAAAGGCCGGCCAAAAGGTGAAATTTTTATATTATCATTTTTCTTTTCAAAGCTAGTGAAGATAATTGTCATGAATTTATCACATCTAATCATAAACTAAATATTATATAAAAAATAATTAATATACAATATTATTTGCAATATCTTTGGTTGGATCAACAACAAATCTTTTAGCTCTCAGCTTCAAGAATTTGGTTTTTGTTGATGAGTGAACAAATACTAACAGAATGATATCTTTCAATTTGATCTCAACAAGATATCTTATCACATCTAATCATAAACTAAATATTATATAAAAATAATGAATATACAATATTATTTGCAATATCTTTGGTTGGATCAACAACAAATCTTTTAGCTCTCAGCTTCAAGAATTTGGTTTTTGTTGATGAGTGAACAAATACTAACAGAATGATATCTTTCAATTTGATCTCAACATGATATCAAGTAGATGAAAAGGGCAAGAACCATATACAATTGGAGAAAAAATAACACAAGAATGAGTGGAACTTCCATAAAACTCATGGTTTCTCTTTATGCTCAATCTCAACAATTTTACATATATATATATATATAGAGAGAGAGAGAGAGAGAGAGAATCCATACTTCTCTTGAACCGAACATGTACAGTTTGATGTGCATACATGACTAAGTTGTTGGCTAACTCTGTTCATCGCCAAACTAGACCAGCGGATGAAACAAACAAATGCATCGATGATGATGACTAGAAGTGTCATAGCCTGGTGGCTTAATTTGTGAAGTTCATTCATTGTTTACTCATATGTGTTAGACAATCTTTACTGTATTTAAATAAATTAAATTCTGTTGTGTACTTAACAACAACCAGAATATAAAAGAAATAAAAGAGAGGAGAGAATTCGTTTGATTACAAAAATCAAACTAGAAATAAAATATATAAATAAAAACAGATTTTATTTTGTTACAAAAATAAAATTAAAATATGATTTATACAAACAAATAAAACAGAAAATAAATTAAACAACTTACTTGATTAATTTCTTCGAATAATAATAATTTGATCAAGTCCAGTGTTTGACACTGTGTCCTTAAGACAGATTTGTCCTCTCCACGGTGCTTTTCAGAAAATGGACGTCTATCTCCCAGGATGAAATGATCAATAACGAATAAATGCAGCACTACAATTTATTCGTACGACGAACACACTAAGTGTATATACTCTTTCTCACAGAAAAATAATGCAGCAATATGTAAGAATAATAGCAGAATTATTATGGACGAAAATTGTGAATCGAATGTTTCAAATGAAGGGCTAGTCTATTTATAGATGTAGTGGCACCCATTTATTTTGAATTGAACAGGTAGCACCTATTTGAACAAGTACTGACCCTGTTGGGTTTGAATTGGTATTGATTGGGTTCAAATTTGAACAGATAAAACTGGAACAACACAGATTTGAATCTGTCCGAGTTATTTGAAATCTAAACAATTTTAATTCTGTTCGGGTGGGAGAAAACTGGACCCAATTTTGAATTTAAATTCTGAAAGTCAAATTGGAAAAATTAGAATTTAATTTTAGAAAATAAAATTCAAATGTTTTTGGCCCAAACAAGCCCAACCCAACCTCACACCACGCATCCAAGCCCAGCCCGCCCGACCGGACGGATGCGGCGGCGCGCGCGCGTGTGTGGTGATTTTTGGGTCCAATGGGTGTAGCCCATTTTGCCCATAACCTCCCTCTCTACAGCACTTGGATAACCCTTGGGGCACACCCCAAGTTCCAATCCCATGCCTTAGAAACCCACTCAAAACTTCCCACCAAATCTCCCATTTTTCAAACCTTTAAGGATTTTCTACCAAAACTCCATTTCCATGGAGCACACTTTGGCTTCAATTTCCCATTCACTCGATAATGGTTTTGAGCAACCAAATATACCACGT